CCCCTCCTTTCCTTCCCCCTCTCCCCTCCCCTCCCTCCCTCCCTCCCCTCCTTTCCTTCCCCCTCTTCCACCTTCTCCGCTCCTCTCCGCTCCGCTCCCCTCCTTTCCTCTCCCTTCCTCCTCCCCTCCCCTCCCTTCCTCCTCCCCTTCCTCCCTCCTTGAACCATCCCGCCAACCCTCTCACCCACCCACTTGGCTCTTCCTGACTTGCTCCCATCCAGTGCTGCCGAGGGTAACAAGGAGGGAGATCAGGGAGACCGTCCTGTCCAACAACGCCAACTGTCTCATCATCTTCCGCGACTGCAAAGACGTGATCTTGCAGAGGAAGGCGAAGCTGCTGGTGCAGGGGAGACTCTACGGCCTCCAGCCCTCCATGGTGACATGGCTGCCGCGGCAAGCGATGAGAGTGCTGGTAGAGCGCAAGGTAGAAGCGTCTAGGATGGAGGAGGAGGAAGAGGAGAAGGAGGAGGAGGAGTCATGTGGGGTGCGGACAGGGGAGACATGGAGTCTGGCAACGGATGCTTCAAGTGAGACGGAGGAGAGCGACGAGGAGGAGGAGGAGGAGGAGGAGGAGGAGGAGGAGATCGTACAAGTCATCAGCATGCGAGAGCTGCACGCGCTGGAGAAGTCCATCACAGCAGCAGAAGTGACGAGCGTGACGGTCAGAGACAGGATCTTGGCGGCAGGCAACATATCATGAGCTTGTTCCCTTACTTACCAAGAGTCATACAGCATCCTGGGAGTACCTTGAAAACCCGTTCGGCCAGCGGCTGCTGCAGCTGACGCTGATCGGAGCTAGGTTGAAGTATCAGGTGTCATGGTCATAGAAGAGTTGTTTCACATCTGAAGGAACTTCAAGGGTTATGGACTTGCCCACCATCTCCTGAAGGTGCTGAAAGATGCTGGTAACCTTGATGGGATGCTGGTTTTGCGACTGACAGCTGACGTGCGATGGAGATGTGGTGGGGAGATGGGATGCCCTGATTGTTTGGGCGGGAGTCGATGCGAGAGAATGGTTCTTGAGGCAGGTGGGGATGGAAGCAGAATGACGATGATGATGACGATGATGATGATGATGATGATGATGATGATGATGATGATGATGATGATGATGATGATGATGATGATGATGATTATGATGATGATGATGATGATGATGATGATGATGAAAAAGCACTGAAGTGCTGCAAGCAGAGCTGTTGCTTGTGATGGTGTTGGTGAATATGACAACGACAACGACAACAAGTCTGAAGCATTCGTAGGGGTTCACAGATGATCGCATTCTCAACTCTCGCTACGAGAAGTTCGTTCCAAAGTGGGAGGACAGGTCTGTAGGAATTGGCTCATCAACCCAGCATCGGGGTGAACTTGTTGCAGTGTTCTGATGTCGATAACATCAGCCACCGATGCTACAGATTCAGGTATGTATCCTCACAATCGATCTATCTTCCCTCCCCGCTCCTCATCTTGTCCTTGCAGACATCGACGTAAAGATCGAGAGGAGAGTGCCTAGTCGCGATGTTTCCCAGCTGAGAACTCAGCAGGTGGAGGAGAAAGAAGGTGGACGAGTATGCAGAGAACTTGCACATGATCCTGTTCGACGAGAGCAGCAGGAGGAGACAGACTAGCTGAACCAGCTTGACAGGTCCATGAGGGAGGAGATTCAGAGTCTCCGGCACAAGGTGGGAGGAGGGCTCGAGTGTCGGCATGCTGAAAGGCGCTGCAGCTGTACATGAAGGATGCCACGATCCAGTTCCTGACAGAGGAGAAGAATCAACTAAGGAAGGAGAGAGATGCCTTGCAGAGGGTGAAATCTCCTCTCCTCTCCTCTCCTTTCTCTTCCTCTCCTCTCCTCTCCTGCTCCTGCTCCTACTCCTACTGATCCTCTCCTACTCCTTTCGTCTCTTCCCATCTGCTCTTCTCTCTTCCCATTCCATATCATCTCTCCTCTGCTCTCCTCTCTCTTCTGTCCTCCTCCTTCCCCTTCTCTCTGCTGAACTTTGCATGTCATCCTGCCACTGATGAGTTGCTTCCCGAGCTTTTCTTGTATGTTCTTACCTAAACTCTGCAAGGATCTGGGCAAACATCGCAACCAGAAAAGCTTGTGCTCTCAGTGCTCTAAAGATTTGCAACATGCAAGACATGTGAAGCATCTCCATCCTTTCGTTAAACGATTGGACCATGGTTGGTTGTTTTTCTTCCACCTCCCCTCCTGTCTTTTTCAACCCTCCCCTCACACTTCTCGACCCTCTCACCTTCTCCCCTCTGCTCCCCCTCTATCTTCGATTCTGCCGTATGCCTACCTTGCAGATGCCTTTCACTCCCTCCTTTCTCTTCTCTCTTGTTCTCGTTTGTTTCAATGTTCATTTCGTTTCGGTGATTTTCCTAAAGATTGCAGCGAATTTCAATCTGTCAGAAGAAGTTTTCTGCGTGAAAGTGGGGGGATTTCAGACATCCATGTGAATTTGATAATTGGTTGAAGCTAAAACTCCAAATAATGAATGACAGATCGAGTACATCGACAAGTTATACAATGAAGCACAGGTGCTGATATGAATCCGCTTTCTTCCTGTCCTCCTCCTCCTCTTTCTCATCCCGCCCCCCCACTACCCCCCTTCCTTCTCCTCCTCCTCCTCCTCCCTTCCCCCATCTCCCCATCTTCTCCCTTCCTCCCTTTCTCTCCTCCACTCTTCCAGGAGATATTGAAGCAAGTTTCTGCAAGTTGGCTGCCTTCGATGCAAGGATCCTCGCATCCGGTTGAAACTTTCCCTTGATATCGCACAGAGCTTGACGTGAACACAGGACTGAACGACTTCCCTGTCATGAATGTAATTGCTACCCTTGCTCATCAAGTCATCAAGTCATAACGGCGAAATCTTCAGATGTTCTGCTCCATGACGTCGAAACTGGATGATGCTCTTCACGCTGGGAGGCAGCTGGAATCGGGGGATTTCGGTCAAAACATCCCGTCCTCCTTGCTTGTTCTTCCTGCGCATGTTTTCTTGTTCTTCTTGCATTGTGCATGATGTTATTTCTGCTCATGTCATGTCTTCTTCAATTGTCTTCAACAAGTGCTATCCTGACCTGCCAGTCTTGTTGTAGATGATCCGAACTCAGCCAACAGCTTCGGCATCGGGTTGTATCTCTCATTGCATGGGAGACAAGCTATGAAGATGAGCGGGGAACTTGCGAGAGTGGTAGTTTTCAAGGTAAACCAGCAGCCGCAGCTGGAGTAGGGGGAGAGAGGAAAGCAGAGGATCAGGAAGTGCAGCAGCAGCAGCAGCAGCAGCAGCAGCAGCAGCAGCAGCAGCAGCAGCAGCAGCAGCAGCAGCAGCAGCAAAGTGAGGGGGCAGGGGGCAGGGGGCAGGCAAGGAGCAAGAGAAAGTTTTTGACGTGCTTTCAGGTGGCATTGGGAAATACAGAAACTCAGTTAAAGCATGACTTCATGCGGAGAAGGTGATCTGAGCCAGGCTCTCAAACCTCTCTCTCCCTCCCTCCCTCCCTCCATCCATCCCTCCCTCTCTTCCTCCGTCCCTCCCTCCCTCCGTCCGTCCCTCCCTCCCTCCCTCTCATATCTGTCCAGCTCTTGACTGTCTCCTCAACCTCGCTTTTCAAATCGTTCCTTCCCTCCGTCCGTATCTTCCTACTGCAACTTTCATCTCTCGCTCTTGCTCATATCTTCCTGATCTTGAATTTCAAAATTCGACCGCAGTCCCTCTCCCGGGTTTCACTCCATCCTTACCCCCGGCAGGTAAGAAGGCTGTCGTGGGAGCGTGTAGGCGGGGACAAGAGGGGACAAGGGAGTGAGGGAGTGAAGGAGGGAGAGGTGTGAAGGAGGGAGAGGAGGGAAAGGAGGGAAGAACCGAGAGGAGGGAGAGAGGGGAGGAAAGGAGCGGAGAAAGCGAGAGACAGGAGGGAGGATGGGAGGAGGATAGGAGCAGCAGCAGCAGCAGCAGCAGCAGCAGCAGCAGCAGCAGCAGCAGCAGCAGGGAGGAGTTGGGGAGGGGGGGAAGGCGAGGAGGAGCAGGAGGAAGAGCAAGAGGAGGTCTGACTCAACATTCAGGACCTCTCTCTCGCCGGTGTCAGGCGTGAAGGAAGAGGACGAGGAGTTTGTTGTCTTCGATCCTGACCAGACCCTCCCCCTCTACATCATCGGTAAGGAACAGCTTCCTTGCCGTTACAGCCCTCTGCTCCTGTCTCATACCCTACAGGTTGCAAGGTTTGAGGAAAGCTTTATTCTCTACTCCACTGCCCATCATCTCACAGTAGCAAGTCATTAGATCGTCCTCTACAGCTCTGATTTCTCGCTGGATATCTCGACTCCATGCTGGTCCTCGTACTCCGTCCTCCTCCACCACCCGAAGTGACCTCAGCTGGTCCCGACGTCCTCCATGCTCCCCCGCCTGTCCAGCTACCCGTTCTTACCGGATGCATCCATGGTCCTGACGCCGCGCTCCTCGCTGCTCCTCTGCTGGCTCACTTCCTGAACAGTCTCGTTGCTCATGTCCTGCAGTGCATGTTGGATCGTCGGCAGGTTCAACGCTATCCCCACGGCTCCCAGCAAGGGGAACGATCGGCGCATGAAACCAACCCCCTTGATGGCACTCGCAGTTACCAGAGAGTACACCGCTCCTCCCAGAGCAGAGGCCAGGACCCCCACCCCCATCCCTCCCAGCACAGCGCTGCCCAATCTCTTGCTCGGCCTACTGGCGGCCTCAAAGGCTGCGACTCGATCCTCTTCGTAAGTCATCCATGCAACTTCAGTTGGTCCTGCCAGAATCGTCAGGCTGTTCCATCCCGGCGCAAACGGACAGGGCAAAACGTCTGCTATCATCGCTCTCATCTCGCCTGTCCTGTCCAGCTGCCTCCTCGTCCCGTCAAAAATGAGAATAGTCTTCGTATACCCGCCCTTCCACCTCCTTTGCTGATTCTCGCTCCCCTCATACTCAGGTTCTCCTCCTCCTCCTGTTCTCCATCTGCCTCCTCCACCTAGTCCCCCTCTCCGTCCTCCCTCTCAACCATCCATTCCTCTCCTCCCTCCCCGCCCCCCCCTCCTCCTCTTTCCCTCGCCATCGTCGTCATGCTGACGGCGCAAGCGAGCATGCGCAAGAATGAGGGTGATGAATTTTTAGAATTCAGGCGATGAGGCTGGCGATGAGGGCGATGAGTAGGGTATGAGATGGGATGAGGGACAAGATGAGGTTGTGCTTGATAGGGGATGCGGGTATCGATCTCGGTTTCTAAATCGGGGGTAATGGCGAACGCGGCGGAGAGAAGGGGGGAGGAAGATGGAGGGGAGGGAGGAGAGACTGAGGAAGGGAGGACAAGGATGAACGCGTTTTCAAGATCCGAACTACATGCTGTCCCCCAACGTTCAAGCAGATATCGCAGCCTTCTCGCGCACTCTCTTCCATTTCTTGCGCTTGCTTTTGCTCTTGCCCTTGTGTCATGGAGGCTCAACTTGACAGGGAGCCGAGGGGTCTCCCTAGCCTCTACTGGACAGACCTTTCTTATAAGAGTTCCACAAGGATTGAGAGTTGGGGAAAGCTTCGAGTTCCTCGTTCCTGGTAGGGGTTACTTCGAAGCTCGCGCACCTGCTAGCCAGCAGGGTGGTTACTTGAGAGTGACGATCCCAACCGGAGCGCAAGGTCGTGACGACCTTCCTGTCCAGACTTTCATGCAGCAGCAACAACAGCAGCAGATGCAGATGCAGCAACAGCAGATGCAGATGCAGCAGCAGCAGGAACAGCACGAGAGTTTTACACCTGGGACTGGGGCTTTCCAGGTTCGGGTTCCTGTGGGATACCATGGAGGTCAAGACCTGCTGGTGAACGTGCCAGGGCGAGGAGGTTTCATGGTGAGGATCCCACAAGGGATGACGACCGGCGATACTTTCGAGTTCACCTTGCCAGCCCCAGCAGAAGCGAAACAGGAGAGCAGGAGACAATCTCTGGCGTCCAGCAGGCTGCGGCAGCAGGCGGGCACCAGCATTGTGAAGCAGGAGGCGCTCCGAAGGCTTCAGACTCGCTACATGGCGAGAGAGCAAGCAGTGGCACCGTCCTTGAGTGCAAGGGGGAAACTTCCGGCGGGAAGGAGGAGGTTGAAGGAAGCGGGGAGGAGGATGGAATTGGCAGGCAGCCTGGCTGATGCGGTGGCGTCGGCGGTGACATCGGCGGTGCAGAATGCAGTCCAGACGGCAGTCGCAGAACAGAATGCTACGGATGCTGCCGCCAACACCAACTCGTCTCCTCCAACTCCTCCACCCCCTCCTCCTGTCTCGCCACCGCCACCACCTCCATCACCTGCTGCTGCTGCTGCTCCTCCACCACCACCACCACCTCCTCCTCCTCGTCCTCCTCCTCCTCCTCCTCCTCCTCTTCTCCCTCCTGCCCCCGCACCCGCACCCGCACCCGCACCCGCACCCGCACCCGCACCCGCACCCGCACCTGCACCCGCACCCGCACCTCCTCCCCAAGCCGTTTCTCCTCCCGTCGCTGCAAGCACTGGCCAGGAGGAGGAGGCAGGATCAGCACAAGTGGATCTCGGGCACAGAGACTGGGGTCAAGCTTTCGCCAAAGGCAAGCCTATCGCAGCTCAGCAAGTGCCAGAGATCTACCAGGGAGAAGCATACGCTGCGCCTGAGGGCTCGACGAACGCGTACCAGGTGAGCGTGTACGCTCCACTGGCTCCTCCTGGGAGGAGAAATCGTGGAATTGCCACCAAGTGGTCACCGGGGGATCAGGTCAGTAGGAGGGGAGGGAGGACGTGAGGAGAGGGAGAAGGGAGGAGGAGGGAGGGCGACGTGGAAGGAGCAGTGGGATTGTTCGTCCTTGTGTGAAGGAAGCGTTGAGTTCGCGGCTCCAGTCTGACTTTGACATGTGCAGGCCTGGACTTATGACGAGAAGCTGAAGAGAAAACCGCAGACGTTCCGCTGGCTCACGAAGCCAGGGAATTGGGAAGAGGTCGATTCTTGGATGGGGAACCCAAGGCCGGACCCTCGATTCTTGCAAGGGGCGTTGGAGGAGGAGCAGGAGCAGGAAACACACGCAGAGCAAGAGAAGCAGGATTACATGGACAGAGACTAGGAGATGAAGCCAGCGACAGGAAGGAGACATGCGCTTGACGAAGGCGGAAAGGGAAACTCCGACTGGAAACGAAGTTGGAAGAGGAAGAGAGGGCTGTATATATGACGAAGTAATGAAGGAAAAAAGTTGGAGGGGTGGTAGGACAAGACTGAAGCTACACGGGATGCTTGCCCTCAAAGCTCCTCTCCTTGTTCCTAGAGATCACCACGAAGTCTCCGAGCTGCGAGACCTGCGGCGCCGAGGTGGGCCCACGAGAGTGAGATCAGCTGAAGAGGAACAGGGAGGGGGGAGGAGAGCTGGATCGATAGCTGGGAGAAGCAGCGGGGCGTGACAACGAGAAGTGAAGCGAGAGTGAGTTTTGATAAGAGGATGAGCAGGGGCAGAGGTAACAGGAAGTGGTGATGGTGATGGGAGCAGTAGCAGCAGCAGCAGCAGCTGCTGCTGCTGCTGGGGAAGAGAAGCAGGACAGGAGTTTGACGTACCATCGCCTCATTCATAAAGCTGAGCTCGTCCTCCCCTGCACAGACTGCACGCAAGGTCAGCGTACCAGCCGATGAGCATTCCTCTAAGTCTCACCGACTACCATGACCTTGGCATGCGGAGCATATCGGTGCAGCTGCAGCCACCATGGAAATTGTCAGTGAGAAGGGGAGGAAGAGCAGGAGGAGGAGCAGGAGGAGGAGCAGTAGGAGGAGCAGTAGGAGGAGCAGTAGGAGGAGCAGGAGGAGGAGCAGGAGGAGGGAATGAAACAGGAAGGATGAGGAAGGAGGGAGTAAAAGAGAAACCAGAGGAGAGGACGTTTCTGCTAAGGGTGATAGAGAAGGAACGAGAGGAGGTGAAAGACCAGGGAGATAAACCCACGTGTTCGGGAATTCCCAAACGCTCCTCACAGTGAAACTTCCCAGTGACATGAATCACAAGGGGAGCCTTCCCATCCTTCACGCCGCCTCTGGTGAGCTTTTCCCCTCCTCCTCCTCCACCACCACCACCACCACTCAGATCGCCCCCCCCATTCAAGATCTGCGCGATGCTGTGTGCCATGGTCGCGTCCCAAAGGTTCTGCTCAGGCAGTTCAACACGGCATGAGGAGTAGGAGCAGCAGGAGCAGGAGCAGGAGCAGGAGCAGGCATCAGGGGCAGGAGCAAGAGCAGGAGCAGGAGTTTGCATTTGAACCTGAGCTTCCAGCATGAATCGGCTCCGCTCCGCGCTCCACCCGATGTACGGGCATGCAGCTCCTTCCTCCCCTGCCGCCTGCCCCTGGGCCCCCTTGTCTTGCCGAGAGAGAGAGGACGTGGAGGAAGATTTTCCTTCACTGTTTCGTTTGCCCTCAGCAGCTACCTCTTGCTGCATCAACTGCATCTGCTGGGTGAACTTGAGCTGGTATGGTCCAGAAGCCGGGGGCACTGGGAGAGGAGGAAGGAACGAGCGTGAGGAGGAGGAGAGTTGGTCAAGGCTGGACATGCCTCGATTGCCAACCACTGAGATGTACCTGAAGGCGAGAATGAGGGATGAAAGGAAGTCAGATTGCTCGTAAAACCTTCTCGGTGCGTTAGCAGCAATCACGGGGATACCATGCTCTTTGGCAAACTCCACCTGTCACGAGGATAGGGAAGAAAGGAGGACAAGGGACGTCAGGACGGAGTCGACGAAAGCATGCGGGGTTGAAGCCGATTGGGATGAGGAGGAGGAGGAGGAGGAGGAGGAGGAGGAGGAACAAAAGGAGAGGGGGTGGGGAGGAGGAGGAGGAGGAGGAGGAGGAGGAGGAGGAGGGAAATAAGTATGAGGAAGTGCAAGTGCACGATCGAGAGGATTAAGCTGAGGGAGGACAGGAAGAGAGGAAGAAAGGGAGGACAGGAGGAGGGAGATGGTGGTGGAGGTAGAGGAGGAGTGGACAAGAGATTTACCATCTTCCTGTAGTCACTCGGGTAGTTCATCCATGCTCTACCGTCTACCATCATGTCTCTCTCGCTGATGATGCCCCTCGTGTACTCGTCGATCACCCTCTGCGCATGCTCTCACTCACTCGCCCACCCACCCAACCACTCGCTCCTACTCTGCCTCAACAACATTCCTCACCTGGACGTCCGTCTCAAACATCTCCAGTGACAGGTGCAGGCTCCTACTGGCCCTCATTCGCTGGAAGCACTCTTGCAGGATCCCCAGCTCAAGCTCATGCGCCGTGGGGTCGTCGTGAACCTCCCCGATCAGGACCTGCGACCAACGGCATGAGAAACTAGCAGCGTCCCAAGAGCATGCTCGACCACATCGTACCCTCCCGCCAGACTTGCGATGTCTGCCAGCGAGCTCGGCACGATCGAGCGAGTGACCGGCGGCTCGCTGCTACTGATCACCCTGACCACCTCTAGAGCCTCCTGGCTGCATGCTGCGACTTTCCGACTGGAGCCGACGAGTG